CTTCGATCGCTGAGAACGCTGGCAGATGGCAAGAAAAAACAACCCTGAGCGAAGCAACGTGATGAACCGCTACAGGGCCTCCCTGAATGTCATCGGAGGCGTTTACGATAAACACTTATCCTCATGTTCACCTAATTAACGAAGTCTGATGTATCAGATTGTCAGAACAATGTTGTGTGAATCGGCTGCCATTTCTGTGCTTTATCATTCACTGGTATTTCATGAATTGTTTTCTGTAACCCTGTGAATGTCATTGACATCTAAAAGCCACTTGTGAAGTCGATCGTAAAAAGAAATTTAGCATACATTCCTTTTAACTCAATACATGGTACACCTGTAGGAAAATTTTAATTGTGCTGTCTTTCACATTACAACTTTGTAAGGTACTGTCACTATTTAATGCACCCATCATTGTATAATTTCAGAAGTCCTTCTTATGAATGCATTATTTTTCCTTTAAATAATATGTAATGATTCATACATGCATGGAACAAAATATATAATATGACTGTACAGAATAATCCTGTATGATTGTGTAGCTGCTCATTTATTCACAATTATACAGACCAAGTAAAGGGGAAAAATTATATCTGATTTTATTGCATTTTATATTAAAATAATTTGTCAGTTGTGTTCTATTCTCGCAGTTCTGTCATCAAAGGAGAAAGTTAAACATGATGAAACTGTCCATCACCAGATGGCGCCATTTAACTCCGCAAGCAGTATGTCAACGTTGAGCGCAAACTTCGGATCTCTTAATCTGACATTAAAAGTATACTTCCGCAAGCTACATTTCAGTTCTTCTCTCTGAATTATACAGATTTTTTTCATTTTGTTTCGGGTCTCACTAACGTTTATGGAGGTATTAAAATTTCCCAGCGAACTTCACACACTTCAGTTTGTTAGTTTTGATTGCTGCTCTTAATTAGTATTAATTAGTATTGTTGTCATTTTTTAATGGTAACAGTGTATTCAAAGAAAGGCCTGCTTTCATGTAATTTTCTCCCAAGCCCCTAAGTGCAGAAGTACCCATCCATCCAGACACTGCTGATGAAACGTCTTTTGAAAAAAGAAAAATCTCAGAACAGTTACATTACACCTTGGATCCCAGCCAGCCAGACCCTGCGTAGTCAGTCATCTGCTCCTCCATTCAGCAGAAGTTGTCAGACTACATCAGCTTATTCCTATTATCACCTGATGCGTTTTTTTATATATATATATATATATATATATATATATATATTCCGCTACATGTTTTCTTCGTTATGCTGTCCGTTCTTTATTCTTTCGATGATATGTCTTTGGCAGCTGAGCTGCTATAATTTGAAGCACTTCAGTGAAGAAACGCAGGACGTCCGACTCGCTGTCAGCTTGGTTTCTGGGCTGGATGTAGGAACAAAACAGGATGGGGGCAGAGGTGTCGGGACCCCCACCTCGGTCTCATTCCCGCTTCTCGTATGCAGTGCGAAAGTGAAGGGCGCCTGTCGTTACTCTTCATTCAATGCGCTACGCTTAAAGCACCTTCTGCAGACTGGCTGCTTTTCTCGGGGCTTTGTGCTGCAGGCCAATCCCTCGCTGATCTACCGCCCTGCTCCCTTCCCAGATAGTACCATGTAATTGTTTCAATGCTGAATTATACTTAAAAGTGTTGAATTATGGTCAATGTTAAATTATCAGCAATTGAATACTGAATTGATTCTTGGTCAGATTTTCAATATTGAAAAATCGATGGGGGCAAAACCTCGATTCAATGTTGATATAAAGTAAAACATTGAAGATCAACGTTGTTTCAACCTTTTTGTCTGATATGGAATCAGTGTCATTTCAACGTATGTGTGTTATCTGGGGTTACAAGGTGTATGGGGCATATCTACCCCAACTGGGGTACTGACAAGAAGACCGTACCACTCAAAACACTTTGCAGAAATCATTTATAATTTATGTACCTCATCCTTGTTTACAGATGCATTAAGCTCTGAAATTATATTATGGCGATTTTTTTCAGGCATAGTTATATACTATAAGATTATAACTTTGAGGGAAAAAGTTATAAATACAGATTGACCCTATATTTTTGTTCTGCTAAGCCTGTGTTTACTTTTTTTATGTCTAAGAGATAACCAAACAAAATATTTCTAATTTATTACCTAGTAATGGGGACACCATTAGCCCTAATGGGAATAGTTGCGTGTTAAGTGCTTATTTGATTATCAAGGCTTCACGGTCATTATATTTAAAAAAAAAAATTTATAAAATGAGAATGTTTCCAAGCAATAGGTGAACCGATGTCACTGATAATAAGCAACTAGCCATGAAATGTACAAAAATGGCTGAAACGGATGTGGTTGTGATCACAGCTAAGTATAGACCTCCTCTTCTGAACTCTAACCGGTTATTCAATTCCAGTGCCTCTTGCAGCGATGAGGTCTGCTGCAATACTTTGTTTCACTCAAATATCCCACTTCCCTTTCTGACCTCTGACCCAGGCAGTAATAACACCAAGTTCTGTCTTGCCATAAAACGTGAAGCCAGATTTTCTCAACAGATTGCAAAAGAATCAACATTATTATATATTGTTTCCCTTTAAATACACATTTTCTACGAACATTGTCTTAGTCAGTTACTCATTCAGTCAAATGAATAATAATAAGCACTGCAAAAAATTATACATTGCATGTGCATTTTAAAGAAAATTATAGCTTTGTGCTGCTAATATAACCAGACAATTTTGCTAATAAACAGAACTCATAATTGAGGCTAGAGAAAATCCTGACACACCATTTTGATTTCTTCCAGGGCTTCTTTGATAAAAGCCGTATAATCCCCAGCAGAACATTTCGTTCTTGGGAAAAAAAAAGATTTTAAATAATAAAAAAGCACAATGCAAAACCCAGACATTCTCTGCCTCTGTCTGTGTGGTATAATGAGCCATATGATAATTTATATCATGGTCTTGTAGACTGATCTCTCTATTTGTACCGGTCTTATTCTGTCTGGTAATAATGGCTCAGCCGTGCCCCTCTGATTTAATCTGACAGTTTTTTCTATCAGGAGGACTGATACTGTAGCAGCCCACTGAACCACAAACATAATACATAACCAGTGATTTGGACCAGAAACCCTCCTTCTTCAGTATGACTTCATTTCACATCGATTCCCCTTTTAAATATTTTAGGCATATGCACTTTAGATATTTTCACTGTTGCTTTGTCGGGATAAAGATTGCTTACTACATTTCTACGTTTTACAAATTTAGCTGTAAATCGCTACCTGTAGTTACACTGACAACAAGATCAAAATTTTGCATCACAATGACCTAAATGAATGCTTTAGATGTGCATATTGACTATGATCATGAAATCAAAAGACACTGATATTACATACTAATACTTTAAAGTCTTTTTCCTTTTGTTTTTTGTTTTTCGTAGAGCAGATGTTCACGAACTGCCCCACAAACGGTACTTTCCGGTTCTCGAATATGGCGCATTTAGGAGTTGTGACTCTGCTGGTTTTCTTTTTTCACTTGGCATAGTGGATGCTGTGCTTTGGTAAAAACATCACAGAGCCTCATAGGGAAACAGACAGCAGTGACATATCCGACAGACTGCAACACGAGTGACCTGACAAGAGCCAAGGATGCTTAAGCCCTGAATGACAGGCAGTCGGAACAAACGTAACATGTCTGCACCTTCCTCTGGGACGTAAACAAACTATGGAACCCAGCTTTCTTGGCTGCAGATTTTAAAGAAGTAGAGAATGTATATATAACTTGTCCAGTGATCCAGAAATTCCGTGCATGTCGTGTACTGCTTGACCCCAAGGTCCAATTTGTTCAAAGAGACTTTTTCTTGGCATGGAGTTCTCCTGGAAATTGTACTCTCCTGGGGTAGAGAAATACATAACAAGAATTAACAAAAAAAAATTTAAACAAAAATACATTACAACACACTGTCTATCGAAGTTGCTCTTTTAAGAACAGGAATAAATAGCACCACACAATGCACATAAACATCCAAACATTAGATTGTAGCTTATCTATTTCTCATTCACTGCACACATCCTAACTCACAGTCTGATTTGTCTCCATGTCAGTCTTACGGCTTGTGTCATCATTGATTGCTTATTTGCTTGCTGTTGAGGAGACCAAAACGAACATAAACCTTTAACCTTTATCCTCCCTTCTGGAAAAAATATGGGCACCTCCAATAATCTACCGTTGGGACTCTTCTTTTTACATATTCCGCCCTGCAGTCGTTTGAGACACGTGCACACCTATCCACAGTTGAGAGCAAAAGTTGGCGTCTGAGCACAGAGTCAGGCCACATAACAAGTGTCCCTGAAGGATTCTGGGGGATTAAGAGCCCGACAGAGATGTGATCATTCTGCCAAGGCCTGAGCCTGACACAGAGGATTTCCAGTTGCAGGAAACACGAACACTGAGCCTTAACTCACTGAGCCTCACACCACTCTTGAAATCATCTGCTCCATACACCTTGTACTGCTTCCCATCGCTGAGAACATCACTCTTCCACTGAAAGATGCACAGCCATCAAGCACAGTTGCCTGTGTTCTTTTTCTTTTCTTTTTTTTCTGTCAGACATCGACACATTAGTGTTCTATAAATAGCACAGGCCAGACAATTACACCACGGCTGCACATCCACGCAACCAGGTCCCCTGCATGAAAAATGCTCCCACTGGAGAAATGAATCCATTATATTCTGTTTATCATGTGCTTGAGGTTTCTGACAAGGGGTATGGTCTCCTAGTCTGGAAAATGCTTACGCCTTGCAGCAAAAAAAAATAAAAAATTAGCAGTGATGAAAGAAAATGGTTCCTTTTTCCCCGCAGTAGGCGGGACCAGTGATTGACAGAGCGTGGCAGTTGTTGCCATCGTGAGTTTTGAAACCTCAACGCTCCTGTCACTGGTTTTCCAGTGCGAAGCAACCGCCACTGACACCACAAGGTCTATAAATGTTGTGCGGGAGCAGTTCTTTCCTTGAAGCAAGTTATATAACTGCAAGCTTGTTGTGTCCCCATAATGACGGTTTCTGTCATTCATCGGGGCGCCCCTCCGGTATAATAGAGCAGCCGGAACACCAAAGGCTGAGCCTCGTGTGGGCTGGGGCGGTAATGCCTGCAAACGTTCTGTGTTATTATTTTTGATTAATTCTACAGGTCCTCTGTGTTACGTGTTCCCTTGTGCGAAGTTCTGAATAGCTGGAAATCGGAACATTCTTTGTATTTCTACACTCTTCTCTAGGGACGTAAACAAACCGTGGGGCCCAGCTTTCACGATCACGGATTTTGAAGAGGGGCTGAAGACTTTTGCGGCAGTTGGCACGGCCTGCATCCTGACCGTCTGCTCACACGTAGGCCGTCGGCTCCTGATGCGTGTTCAGACCTTCGAAAGCTCGGCCGTACTTGCATGTCGTGACATCGATGGAATAACGGCTGCTTTATTTTAACACATATGTGGTAAGATCTTTTAAAGAGTTATTCTGGCAGTTTAGGGAAACTTTGGCAAATATGAAATGCAAATATGCATATGCTTTACAAGGTCTTTTTTTTATAAGTTGGTCCTTATTGCACATCTCATCTGTCATTTATAGATGTGACACTGATTCTCTTTTAGAGGTTTGGCAAGATATTTGACATCTAAGCCTGAAAAACATTCTATTGGCATGGATGGGTAATTCCGAGCACTTTGGCTGCTGTAGTGCTGTTAGCGTCTCAGAGTAGTATTGTCGTGTATTTGAATATTTATAGTTTTTGGAACATCTTCCATATGTGGTTATTCTACACGACTGACATGTCTCACATTCTGCTTATTTAAGAAGTTCTGAATGGGAACAAGATCTGTGCGAGTTTGTGGAATAGCTGTAAACATTAAGTATGAATTTGAGGTGTATTCCTCCCCCTCCAAAAGTTGTTTTCTTTGGAAGGTTTGTCTGCTCCGTCAGTTCACTTTCGAGGCACGTTTGGGAACATCGGCCTTGATTAAGAGTCATGGCTGATTAGCCTGACGCCCAGTGTATTGCTGGCCTTCGCTCGCGCTGCAGCGGGTAAATGGGAGCATCGCAGATTAGGATGTCAGTCTGATGAGAGTAGAGGGCCTGGTGTGGAGTGTGTGAGTGTGGGGAGGGCAGGTGACATCAGCATGAGAGTGGGAAACGATCATTTCACAGGAGCGGAGGAGACAGCAGCAGCCTCAGACACACACACACACAAACACACGTGCGCTCGCACGGACGCACTCATACGGACAACGTGCCTGGCAGAGGAGGTGCCGTGGTCGTCTCTATCTGGCGCCGCACACTGGGGATTCTGACACACACTGTAAACAAAGCACTGCCTGTCAACACTGGACGTCAGGGCAGAGCCACAGACCAGTACGAGCTCTGCCTCTGAGCCGCGCCTCGGACCACATCGCCGGCGGCCTTAATTGGACAGCAGGTGAGTGAAATGCCGATCTCCGTCGCCGTTGTGCGAGTGCGGACGGCCGCTCCTTTTTCACTGGAACTGAAGCGCAGTTCGCTTCATTAGTTGTGTATCCGGTGGGACCACAGTAAGCTGCCTCCGCTTAGATACATTGTGCCGTTTCATTATTTCAGAGGCGTCACCCTCGTACACGAACCTGCTGCTGCTGCTTCTTCAAATTGCCCCGGGGGCGCTGGGGGGGGTTTGTCATGCCGTGTTTGTGAAGCTACTTTCCCGTATGGCACTGCATTCATCCTTGATGCTGTGATGTTTCGTTCCTTCAAGCAGCAGAACCTGTTTGCCTTCGGTTCTCTCCAAAAGCCCAGCTTAAGAGGCAGTCAGCGGTGTGTATTTTATTTGTTTACGAGAGGTATTCTGAACGAATGGGGAGAAAGCGGACTAATGACATATACTAAAGTGAAGTTCTTGGAAAGCGCAATGGTTATATTTGATGTAACGCATTTCTCCCTTTTATAGTTTGGAGGGCAATTAGATTGTGGGAGGAGTGGGTCACGATTCCAGGAGGAGTTCACAAAATAACCAACACGAGAGTCCTCTATGACAGCTAGCTGGTCAAGGGTCCCAGTGATAGCCCTTTCACCATACTCTTCAGCTAGGTGCTTAACCCAAAGTACTCCAGTAAAATATTCAGCGGCATGAATGATCAAGTCACTACTGGGCTACAGAATATGAGAGCTATTAATGCTTTTAGACCGTGACACAAAACAATGCACTGACAAGATAGGATGAGCTGAGCTGAGGCTGAGGCTGAGGCTGAGGCTGAGATGAGATGAGATGAGATGAGATGAGATATGATAAGATAAGATAAGATAAGATAAGATAAGATAAGATAAATTTAATTGATCCTGGGGGAAATTCTTGTGGATACAGCAGCAAGGTACGTACAGTGCAGACAAACAAACATTTAGGGCAAAATAAGATAAGCTGCACAGACATAGAACCCACCAGAATATCCTGAAAAGGAACATTAAGGAAATAAATTGATGTGATTAAAAATTCATTAACAGACTGTGTATGTGCTATAAAATAATAATAATAATAAACCAGATAGCACCCAACTTTGAATATTGCAAACATGGGCAGCTTCCGGATGTGTCCCGGCTGTGGTGGAGGGTGGCATGCCAGGAGTAGGCACTGTGGTGTCTGATGGCGGCAGGCAGGAACGACCCCGAGTAGGAACGACCCCGAGTAGGAACGACCCCTGAGTAGTGCACACCGCGGTGGAATGAGCCGGTGACCAAAAGCCCTCTAAGACAGCGTCCCATGGAGTGGATGGGCAGAGTAAAACATTTACTCTACAGTCAGGATACTGTCAATGGTAAGATGTAGTGTTCAAAATGACCAGTGGGGGGGGGGGGATTCCTTTAAAATCATGATGAACTATGGCATAATAACATGACATGACAGCTGTAACATACATTAACAACAAACATCATAGCTGTATAATTCAGGGGCATCAGAAGCATTTTGAATGTGGGGGGGGGACACTGGCATAAAACTAATATTTTATGTTAAAGGTGGGGGGGTCCACGTCCCCCTCAGATTTAATGGCGGCGACGCCCATGGTATAATTACATAATGTTTGCTATTGATATACATTAAAGTTATGAAGGTATGTTAGGATGTTACATGCTGCTTATGAATGTTCTTTGAAAGCACTATAAAGGCATTATGAAGGTGCAGTTAATGTAACATGTTACCGGAGATACACTATAATAACTCTCGACCTGGTGGTTGGTGGTTGGTGGATGAACCATTCGGACTGAAAGGTGCAGGATATAATGTGCATATTTTGGCTATGAGCTTTAGTTTAGCAGTGTTAAGCTGGTTTTATGAGGCTGGGGCTGGGAAGGATGGGGAAAATATCACAGACAGACCTGAGCATGCGATGAGCAAAGGCAGGAGCCCCAAGCCCTGAACAGGCTGGACAGACACATCTCATATCGCTCACCTTCACCCCATAACATCTCTATTCCCTGTTGATCTTGGTTATATTTTGTTGTGATGAGATCAGTTTACAGCCTCTTAGTAACCGATTGTTAACAAGCGCTCCAGCCGTCCGCATTATTATCTGCTATATTTATATGATTAATAGTGTGGAGAAGTCAGCTATGCCTACTGGAAATTAGGCTGGGAAACACTGGATTCCCTTAAACAATAAAAGACCCTTTTAATATAGAGGTGGATGAAATAAAGGGATCGCTAACATGAAAAAAGGAAGACAGAAAATGGGAGAATATAAGTCCTCACCATGAACTTATCTTAGGAGATTCAAGCAATAGAGTGATTCTGAATAAACAGTATTTTTTTTTGTACTTTTATGGGGATGCCACAAAAAATAAAGTTTATGCAGTGATGTTTTCATACAGTGAACTGTATCCATTTTATACTCGCAGTCCCCACCTGACGCAATCATAGCGGTTTGTTATGCTACAAATCAAATGTCCTGTTTATTTCAAAATGTGTTTCAGGAACATAGTTACCATGACTGAGATGCATTGGATCTGGCAGAGAAAGGCTTCAAGGCCTGACAATTTGGCAGAACCAAGATGCAGATGAATTGATGGTGAAAAACTGACTTCATATTCATCTACCTTGAGAAGATTCTTATCATTGTGAGCATCACTCTGGTTAGGTTTGCAAACAGAAGCGCATTTAGCACAGGCATGTAGCACAGGGATGTAGCACAGGCATGTAGCACAGGGATGTAGCACAGGCATGTAGCACAGGCATTTAGCACAGGCATGTAGCACAGGGATGTAGCACAGGCATGTAGCACAGGGATGTAGCGCAGGCATGTAGCACAGGGATGTAGCACAGGGGTGCAGCACAGGGATGTAGCACAGGCATGTAGCACAGGGATGCAGCACAGGGATGCACCACAGAGTAACCTGTAAACATGCCCCCCCCCCTCTTTTTGGGTTTACAGGGATGTGCTGGGATGCAAAATAAGCATTAAATTAAAATTAACACTCTTGGGATTTATAGACCATAACAAGAGAGGGCAGGGGCATCTAGGTTTGGACAGGTTTACCAGGGCTGACAGAGAACAGAGCATATCAGTTTATATTGGCAAACATTAATGAGAGACAAACAAAATGAATCAAGTCACCTGACTCTGCCAGTAATGATGGCATTCCAATAACCAACAGGTTCAATACAGTCAGTTTATGTATATTTACATTCCTTGGAAACACTGCAGTCCAGTTTAAGTGTAGCTCCTGGAACTTCAGCAAAGAAACTTCAATTCACAGGTTCAGTTCCTGAACTTCCGTTTGTGATACATTTCTTCGGGAGATCTTGGTAACCTTGGTTGGGTGTTTTGCGTGTGCATTAGCCCATGGCTACATGGTTTACTGTGTTTACTTGAAGAGGGTGAAGATGTGGATGTCAGGAATAGGGACACGTACTATAAGATACTGCATTTGGGAACTTTAGTGAGCCAGACAGAGGCAAAGAAAGACAGACGTATGAATCATCTTTGCACCTTTAGTATGAGAATCTTGTAGAGTGAGTGAGGGTTTTGTAGCCAAGGGTTACACTACAAAGGGGAAGAAAAGATCTGAATCACATGAGACACTTGCATAAGCCAGGTGTGATGTCAGAGACCCTTAGCAGACAAGGAGACCAGGATCTGGGACTGGTGAGACTGTACCTTGGGAGGACGGTGAGCTTCACAGAGACGGGTGACACAATTCTGTCACCTGTGAGTACCAGCTGTACACTATACTGTAGCTTTGGATATTTGAGACAGCTATCAAGCTAAGTGACAGTAACTGATTATTAAATTGAATATTCATAATGATGATGAGCATAATCAAGGTTCCAGGATTTTTATTTGTCATCGTGCAAGTGGTTTACACAAGTACAATGAAATGTATTAGTAGACTCCATAATGACATAAACAACATACATACATACATACAAACATAAATATTTAACACAACAATAAACATAGTATTACATGAATACTATAGAAACTGTAAACAGGGCTGTCGTCAGGCTTATTTTAGGGGGGGTTTAGCCCTCCTAAAAATGTTTTGTAGCCGCCCCCCCCCCCCAAATAAATGTGTATTTATTGGCTTAAGTCATTAATAACTTTTTATGCTACATATAAGTATGCCATCGCCCCCTCTACCAAAGACTCAGCCCCTTTATCGATTCATCTGGAACTACGCCCCTGAGAATATATATACAGGCGGTTTGGAAATTCACTAGGATTACATCAATAAATATGTAGTATAACATATTGCACTGTTAATCAGCGACAATTGATCACATTTAGCTCAAAACAAAAACTATTGCATAACATTTTTTAATTTTTTTTTGCACAGCAAAGTCATAAAGGATCAGCTTTCACCATGACGGATGTTTCCATAGCAACACAACACGCCTAGAGGGATATCACAAGTGGGCCTGGCCTTGAAGCGTACACACGCCGGCATGTGTTTACAAAATAGCATGACGAAGCCGTCACATTAGTATCGCATTTCTTACACATTCTTAAAGAATCAAACAATGTCATTGCTGGGCCCGGAAGACTGTCGCCCCGCTAGGGTACGCTAGGCAGGGACGCGAGAGGTTAAACAGCTTCATACTCGCTTTGCACTTGTAATTCCTTGCAGTGTATACAGTGAATATTCTGCCAATGAATACCAGACAATCTTTTGTATTGCTTTCAACAGAAAAACACCCCTCCCCTAAGGCCTCCGCTATTATATAGGTATTTTAAATTAATTATTGCACCCAGCCCCTTCACAAAAGAGTCACGTTGGGCTACGATTGTGCTAACGGACGTGATATATTCCGTCCAGTGGATCTGTCCTTATTTTTCCCCTGTATGTGACATTTGTAAATGTGATTTACTGACTGCGGGTATCACTGTTTGACACTGCAGCTGTAACTGGAGACTGCAGTTGAATCCATTTTGTGTTCTGCTTGGTATGTTATACGGCCATTTTGTGCAGTTATCTGTCACCTTTAAGGGTAAACACCACATATTGTAGAGGCCTGTGGCCCCCTGCCATAGGTGCAGATAAACATCTTTAACTGGGAGGTGTCATCGGATGGCTTTATGTGGCTGTCCCTGGATACATAACAGTCCCGGGTTGACGGCGGGAAGCGCTGGGTGATGCGCTTTCGCGTGTCGGGCCTGGGGGCTCCACCCATCGCCGTAGGGGAGAGATCAGTGGCTCTTTCTGCGTTACAGAGAGGAGCAGGACTGAGGCGATGTGAGATAAGACATCCATCATGACGAACCCTGAGAAGTGGGTCACCCTGAGTCCGGCGGAGTTCTCCCAGCTCCAGGAGTATACACAGTGTAAGTGTGACTTTCCTCAGATGCTCTTCTCTTACTCATGGCTTTGTGAAATCTCATACCTTTATAAGGGTGTCTCTTCAGAACATAAAAAGTACTTTTTTTTCTACCCAATCAAAACTTTCCTCGGGCTAGCCGAAACTGAAATAGACATCAATAAATATGCAGTTCACATATGTTCAAGGGCACAACAGATAAAATATTTTTGTCTTTGAAACTGAAATAGATTGTAAGGAGTGTGAAAGCCTTTTGTTGTACAGTTTTTTGGGTTTTTTATACCTATTTTTCAGTTATTTAGGGAGTTATATGTAGTGTCAGCATTTTCTCTATTAAAATAGCTTCTTTTCTCATCACAAACGTTCACGGAGACATTATCAGAGCCTTATGGGTGGGATTTCTGTCCAATCCAACAGCTTTGTGGAGCCTTAGTAATGGCCACTGTAATTGGCCAAACGATGTGCTGGTCAGGGCCTAGCGTGCGTGCAGTACTATGACCGCACAGTCAAGCCTTTCATGTAACTGTACATTCCAGAAATTAAATGACAATAAACTGATTTTAATTCAATTGAACTAACTTGAATTGAAATAACAGCTACACAGAATTTCCATTGGATGTATCAGACATCAGTTGCTGGTTCCCATTAAATGTTTAACCTACCTGGGGGTTAATTCCTAAACAATACAAATTGCTGCCTCAAACCGAAAATCCAATTGATATATGTATAATCTGTCTTACACTATTTGTGTACACTTATCCCTTCTATCCTTTCCGTAATTACATGAGTTGCTCTTGGCTCTTTATGACTGGACCTCAAGGGGCCGCCTGCAAAGCACTTACGGTACTGCAGTTACGGTGAAACCCAGAAGAGGCGAGAGGCGTGTTTAACTTGGCCGTAACGTTGCTCACACTGATTGCTCTGTGCATTGCTGCCGCACCGTACAGCTGTCTGACAGCAGCCGTCAAGCTGCCCCTGATCGTCTCCATGCTGGAGACCGAATGAAAGGGCGTCTATGTAATAGTGTTTCTCTGAGCCGTCTGGGTTTCGCTGAGGTACCAGCAGGTTAGGAAACTTGCCATCCCTGGAGGAGTAACTGAAAGCTTTCTTCCACTCTCAGTCCTCAACCTGCTCTCTCTCTTTCTCTTTCTCGCTCGCTCTCTGCTTTGTAATTATTTTTCATAATAAGCATGAATTAAGCCATGAATCACATGAAGCATTTCACTGGTATTCCACACTAGTCCCTGTAAATAATGCATTGAAATTTCAAAGTGTTTTTGGCATTTTTCTGTAAAGCGTTAATAACCATATAGCACATGCTGTGTAATTCTCCAGATATGAGGGTGAGGGTGTGTAGACCAGCCTTCACAGACCTGCCATTGTAACTGCCTGCTGATGGTCACACGTCTGGAGTCTGCTATGCGTCAGACCGTCAAACTGTCACCCGCCTGTCGCTCTTCCGCATATCCACATATGATCCTCCTCCTTTCGCCGCTCGATCGGTCCCTCGTGTCATTGGCCCTTCTCATCAAGCGCTCGTTCTTGGCTTTTAGCCTGTTGTCATTTTAGTCTTTGTCTCAGTTCCCTCAAAAACCATCCTTCATCTGGCATACAGTAGACCTTCACTCCCAGCTGCTGAAGAGTTAAATAACATTTAAAGTGTTCACATGGTCAAATTGAACCTCTGAAATGTTCTTCAACTACCTGCTCTCCTTTGTAGAAGGTAATGTATTGACACTGTTTGTATTTAGATTCCACCAAAAAGCTGAAGGATGTTCTGCAGGAATTTTACGGTGATGGACTGCTGGCCAAGTACAATCCAGAGGAGGTAATATGCCACCTTTAACTTAATCTGGCTGTCAATGGATTACTTATTTGGCGGGTACTGTGAACCACGTAACATCTCTTGATTTTGAAACACCTTGAATCATAGCTGTTGGTAAAATTGGTGATTTGATTAATTATGTAAAAAAATTTTACAACCACTGGCCATTAGATACACATAACCTGTGCTGGGTGGGACCCAACTTGGCCTCCAGAAGCAGTTCAAGGGTGGATGAGGTGTGTGTTCAGAGAAGCCTTCCTGCAATCACTGATATTCAGTGTGATATTTTCACACCCATGGCCTTCCGGTTGCCTGTAACAAATCTGGGCATTCTGGATATTTTTTGTTCATCACGCCATTGCCTGTAAACTATAGATATTGCAGCTTGTGAAAATCGCAGGCCACTCCTGAGGTGCTGGATCTGGCAGCAGCAGTCACGCCGCATTCACTGGCATTTCACGTCTTAGCTGTTCCAATTTTTAGCCAAACAATAGCCACACCTCTCCACCCTTCTGTGGGCTGAATGTTCGGCTGCAGCTGCAGTTTGCTGGTTAGAGGAGCAGAATGTATATCTAATAAAATGGCCGCTATAATAAATAAAGGGTTTTTGTCAAGTTGCCATCCGTTCTAAACAACTCAAACAAAAGTGTCTCAGCAGATACAACAACTACTTAACTGGATATTAGATATACTTCCATACAACATAGTCATACTTCTGCTTCCTGTCATTCATCAAACTTCTTACCTTCCTTTACCAAATGCTACGTAGAAGCAGGACATACTCAATCAGGTACCGTAATGCACTTCGTGTGATTCATTGCGTCACCTGCTAAACCTTGCGTCACGTGCACTTTAAAATGGGCACTTTCCGATGTCTTCTTAAGGACATCGACTTCGAAGGCTTCAAGCTCTTCATGACGACCTTCTTGGAGAACGAGCTCACGGAGGCCTTCTGTCAGCAGCTCTTCCTGTCGTTCAGTGACAAGGCCGCCAAACCCAGTCCATCCACTCCCGATAGGTCGAAAGTCACTGGTAATTATCTACCATTTGACAACTGTCAAAACTATACTTCTCTTCCTACTGATATGGGATCCTGAATTACGCCTTCTGATATAAAGACTGAATGTTATGCCCGTGATGTAGCAGTGCTTATTAAACCAGTCCTCAGCGACACCCAGAAGGTCCACAGGTTTGCTCTGTCCCAGGAGCTAGAAGCTGGGAGAGAGAGCAACAATGCAGGCCGTCTGGGGCTCTGGGCTGAGAAACACTGATCTACAGTATGTCTGAGCAGTAAGTGGCAGATTTTAGGATCAACAGAGCAGTGCTAAATCAGACTTATTACTGCTGTATGGCAGAGATCAGACATCACATAGCGATTTAATCATGGGTTCAAACATTGGGGTAAAATACTTCTGAAAGCCTTTATACTAACACCATTGACAATGTGATGGAGTGTTTTTTAAACTGCTGTCTTTTAAGTCATACTGCCATACTCTGTTGGAAGGTCCCCAGGGGGTATGTTTAATGACTGCAGGATTTTTGCCCCCCACCCCCAGAAATAATAGGGCATTCAATCTATTTTGTCACTACTGCAGTGTAAAATAAATTACATTTGCTCCTACTGTGGTTTAAAGGTTGCTAATGCATATTAAAGTGCTTTTTTATTATTTCTCAGGTATCAAACTCATCAAAGGTAATTGCACTCCTCAGAAGGTCCCTCAGTTGCTGAGGATGAATTCCCTGGACACAGTCAAACTGAAAGACATCGTATGTTACTTGTCCCTGTTGGAAGGCGGACGACCCGAAGACAAACTTGAATGTGGGTACACAACATTTATTTTATTTTATTGTCCTTACTTCCTGTGCTGGGTGTTAGCACAGTGGTGCTGTGGTTTGTGCAGTTGCCTCACACCTCTGGTGACCTGGGTCTGCGGTGTCCCTGTGTCGGCGCCGGGACAGATCTGATAGGTGGGCCCAAGATTTTCATAGAGGGCTGTTAGCCATGGTTAACGCTGTTGGGGTTGGAGAAGCATGTGATCTGTGGCCACACCCCTGGGAGGGACCTGGCTTATTTAATTTAGGATGAACACTTTTATAAAAATAAAATAAAATACAGTGTTCTTGCTGGGTGGCATTTGGGGGCTTATTTAGGGGGCATAGCCCACAAATGCCGCCCCATGACGCTGAACCCATGTTCTCCCCGTGTTCTCGTCGGATTTCCTCTGGGTTCTCTGGTTTCCCCCCACAGTCCACAAACATGCTGTAAGGTAAGCTGGAGGTGCCGGTGGTGTGCGTGCCCTGCGGTGGGTTGGCGCCCCACCCTGGGTTATTCCCTGTCTGGTGCCCATAGCCCCCAGGATAGGCTGGGGACCCCCACATCCCTGTATAGGATAAGCGGGTGCAGGAAATTAATGAATAAATAGTTATTGGTGACTCAGTGGGTTGTACTTCTGCCTTGTACTTGCAGGTGTGCATCTTGCTCTCTTTGTGTGCGATTTGCACATTCTTTCATGGTTCCCCCAAGTCCAAACACATACAGATATGTAAACGGGTCACCCTGAATCGGTGTTTCCCAATCTGCTCCTCAGGGACCCGCATTCGGTCCATGTTTTTGCTCCCTCCAAACTCCCTGCCGGACAGTCCACATTTTTCCTACCGGGAGCTGGGAGGGAGCGAAAACGTGGACTATCTGTGGGTCCCGGAGGAGCAGATTGGGAAACGCTGCTCTCCTCTGTCCCTGTATTGGATAAACAGTTAGAAAATGGATTGGTGATTTATGCTTATTTGGAATGTACTTTAAACCAAAGGGCCTTTGGGGAACCACTCAGGAGTAATTGCCCATAGTTTTGTTTTTATAGATGATTAATCCATATGTGATTATTTGCACTAAATAGTGCATTTTAACCAATGGCATATTTGTCTGCATATTTCCAGCATTTACGCTTACATTTCCAACCTTTAGCCAGAATTCCATGGATAAACCAATTTACTGAAAGACAAAATATTTGTTGAGCACAGTAAGACTGAATTTAATCCTTAATTTAGGTAATATAATTAAAAAAAAAAGTCTAGCCGGCAGATCCTTAAGGGGAATGTGCATAATTAATTCCACTTAAAAACAAAAATAATAAATGTGTGTCCACCGCCATCACAATGCTGTATAAACAGCGCTACCCGCTGGGCATAATTTTGCCCTGTACGGTATTTATAAAAGTGCAAACTGCAGAGAAGAAACCAGCTCTTTTATAGTATAGGGGGATTAATGTTTCCAAAGCCTTTATTGAGTAGCGTTGCCGCAGCCAATTTGTGCGGCTGTGGGGAAGCGCGCGGATGGTAATAGCAGGTAGAATGGCTGGGGTTTTTTTTTTTTTTTTTATCCCAGTCGACACATCTTGCTGATGTGTAATTTTCAGCACTAGTTTATAATGAGCCACAGGAGGCCTGATTTTGCAGGGTAGCGAAAAACTTTACCCCCCTTCACTATTTCATCGGGTGCCTGTTTATCGTAACAAGATGCGCTTAACGGCTGAATTTCACGTGCATCTTTTCCGGCACCACAAATCTAAATAATTGTAAAAAAAAAACAAAACAGGTGTCCAGACGCTTGCAGACTTTCTCGCAGGTTGTAAACGAATCGTGTGAGATTGTGCCGCTGAACCGTGATCATTATTTCGTCTCTGGGTCGCCTGTTTCTCTGTATTTATTTTCGGGTATAAATGCGCTGATAATTAGTGACGTAGCTCATGCTTTGTTATCGTTAAACGAGCATCCATGCACACAGTAGAATTATATCAAGTTTTTTTTATGATAAATATTTTTTTACATCCTATAATCCTCACGATTATCAGTAGAAGCTGGGATCTACTCCGCTAGTAATTTTTCGTTCTAGGAACGTTTACTGAACGTTATTATTAAGATATGGATACGTTCAAAGTATCTGGTTTACCAGATGTTCCCAGAACGTTATCCCATTTCTACGACTACTACTACAACTAAGAATGACGATATAGAAACAAGCGAAGGACAGCAGGCAGTGACCCGGATGCTCAACACCTCAGAGGTCAGGAGATCAAGGCTGGATGGTGCAAGTGCTGACAGCATATAGATATGGCACGTTTGTAAAGTAATATTTAATTATAGAACAATATTTTTCAACATTAATTAAAGAATGTTAAGGTAATAATGTTATTCCGCTGACATAAAGACAGAACCTTTGTTATAATGTAAATTGTGGAAATAACATTTTATTAATGTTACAGTTCCCTGCCAAGCTCCACATCACTTGGCTAAAGTTCTGGGAACATTTTCTGGTAGCTGGGATAAGTTCGGTGTGAATATTGGGAGGACTGGTACCAAATGTAGAACCATACTAAGATTTGTGTTTCTTGTGGCCGGGACTGTCAAACATCGCAGCAAATCTCGGCGGCTTTACCTAATACATGTCGCCCCTGCATCTGCCGAACGCTGCTTGTGCTGCTGGTGTAAACAGGTTATTTTAGATATGATGCCTGAGCACTTCAGTGAGTCAGTGATGTGAAGCTGTTTATTATCATGCCCCAGAAAGCACGATGTCCATTCAGCGATGTCCTTGGACAGAACAGCCCTGCGAGTCTGACAATTAATAAAGATCCGTGGAAAATATCAGTGTTGGCCACCTTTTATCTGTAGCCCATCTGAGGGCCCACATGAGCGTGTTGCACCAGCGCATCCCGTCTCCTCTCTGTCTGTTTCCATGGTGATGCAGCGCGTCGCGCAACAGCGGCCACAGTGGTGCAGCACAGGCCGTGAGAGCTACTCATCTGAGATATCAGACACTCCATTCGCCTTTTGAAGATGTCTGTTCCTCTGTGTACCTTCTGATGTGCTACAGATGAAACTCCACCCACTTTTAAAAAAGTAAATTCTGCTTTAAAGTGCAGACTGTGTACCTAAGTGCAAAATGTTAAGGCAGACCTGCAGTTCTCAGGGACCAATAGGAAATTGTTACAACATAAACAGCTAATATACACTATAATATGCAACAGTGCATTTTGATCATTCAATTTAAAATAATTAAGAATAAATTAAGGTAGCTATTTTGAATAAGATGCACTGCCTGCCTTTTGTTTACCAGGGAAGCATAAACTAAAATTATGATTTTTTTAAACTAAACGGTGTTATGTTTTCTGCACACCAATTTTTTTCTTAACGTTCTGTAACATTTTTCTTTATAGTTATGTTCCGTCTGTATGATGTCGATGGAAACGGCTCTCTGGATAGCTCGGTAAGCTTTGCAGTCATTCACTATCCATACTGATGCCTGCTTTCTCCCGTAGACCGCTGGTACTCTACCTTTCGCCTGTGAACAAATATTAATGTGCCATGATAGCAGCGAATCACAGGACTAGTAATGTATTAGTAGTCTGGATTTGTGAAGCTCGATAGTTGTGTTTGTGTGTTTTAATGTCATCCACTCTCCATATTTTATTTATTTATACCATTTGCACATGGAAACAAACGTGGAAACTCAGACTTCGCTGGCCGTCTCACAGGGAAGGCGGTCATCAACCCAAACATCTATCTTTTGTCTTCTCACATATTTTTCTCAGTCATTCCTTCACCAAAATATTCCAGTTTAAAAACTGTAACTGCTGGTTTGTTTTTGCTTTAGGAATTGGAACATATAATCTCTCAGATGATGCATGTTGCAGAATATCTCGAGTGGGACGTCAAAGAGCTGAAGCCAGTAGGTAGAAGATGGTGTTACTATGTTCTGCATTTGACTTTGTTTAGTATTCCGATGCTTGCGATGGGTTGGCACCCCCTCCTGGGACCCTCCCAGCTGTGCGCCATATCATCAGGGATAGGCTCCAGATCCCCACGACCAGAGGTGGATAGTTCAGGTCCAGAAAGTAAAAATCCAGACCAAGATTTTGTTTCAGCCAGTAAGTATAAGGAGTCACATTTACACATCAACTGGTCGGTTGAAGCAAAATCTTGGTTTGAATTTAAATTTTCTGGACCTGAACCATCCACCTCTGCCCTTGACCCTGCTTAGAAGAAGCATGTATAGAAGATGGATGGATGGATGGATGGATGGATGGATAAATAGTATATTGATGTTAACTAGGGCAGTGTGATGAGTGGTAGCACTATCAGCTCACGCCACCAGAGTTTGGGTTTGATTTCTGTTCCCATCTGTGTGTGTGTGGAGTTTGAAGGTTCTCTCCATTTTTTGCTGCGATTTCCTTTGGGTGCTCTGGCTTCTCCATGCAGTCCAAGTGAGAGCATTTGCTGGACTGGTGTCTCATTCAGTTTAACTTTGAATTCCTGGGAGAGGCACCAGACTGACAGTAACCATGTACTGGACACTTTATTCTGAAAGATGGAGGGATGACTGCATGGATGGATGGATAGATAGATGTAAACAGGTGTTGCATGTTATTTAAAAGTTAGATGTAAACAGATGCTGAATATTATTTAAATGATTGATGTCTGTGGTAATTTATGTAGATCCTACAGGAGATGATGCAAGAAATTGACTATGATCAGGACGGCGCGGTTTCTCTGGAGGAGTGGATCCAGGGCGGCATGACAACCATCCCCCTGCTGGTGCTGCTGGGGCTGGAGACAGTGAGTTTTCTGCGAATGAACAGAGCTACTCCTGCGCATGCATAACTGCTTATTGTACCTGATTTGACAGATGCACGGGTTTTGTTTATTGAAGACTGGCTATTTCAGATAAATAATACGAGAATATTATTGAGCAAAAAACTTGAATATTAAGCAATCCTGATCTGTTGCTTCCCTGTTATTCTGGGTTTAGCTTTTATGTCTTCATTTGTTCACAAGTTGTTCACAAATGACTCGCTGCCATGTTTACAGTATTTCCGGCATGGTATTTGCATTACAGTTATTGTCCTGTCATTGGTTATTAATCCAGGTGTTTCAGGAGGCATTACTTCATGCTAAAAGGGTGATTTCCCAGGAACCAGCCCCTGGGTGTCTTTGTAGAGTGTCACCTTAGGGATCCACTGAATCCCTGCCAGACAAAAGCCAAAGTAATGTCAGTCCACACCTGGCTGATTGTGGTTTTTGGAAGCTATGGCACCAGACCATTTGCAAGGAAGAGTTACCCCCATTTTAATCAGTAATTATAAGTAATGATAAATCAAACTCTTGATAATAATTATGTAAATTTTTGGTTATTTTTTAGAACAGCTGATAGCGAGTTGTAAGAAATACTGTGACAGAATATAGTCAAAAAAAAATTATAACATGAGCGTGAGATATTTCCGCTCTTTTAATTCCTTCCCCCAAAAAAAACTATACCATAGGGTAATTTGTTGATATTAAAAGCAGCGTAAAGTGTAGTTTATCAGTTCAGCCACAAGAGGGAAATAGCGGGCTGTGTAAAATAATCGCGAGCCCGGCAAGCACTATGTGAACGCCCAGCTAACAAGAAGACGTATTAATTGAAGCTATGTCCACATTTTTGTATGCGAAAATCTACAAAGATTTGTCTGAAGTTTGTGTAAAGTTTTGCTATAATATAAGGGTGAAATTAAACTTGTCCCTGAAACATTTTCAGTGGGTCGTAACCCGAAAATTGGGTTGCATGAGTGTTTTCATTGGGTCGCTGAGTATTTGGTTAAAAAAAAATTTTTTTCTTCTTGTCAGAATTTTTTTTTTTTTAATCAGTGATCCGTCAGCAGGAGAGACATTGTGGCTCCACTGCATTCATTTACTGTGTTACCTCACTGTTACTGTGTTACCTCACTGTTACTGTGTTACTGGCCTACTGTACTATTTTTTTATCCATTTTTTTTTTTTGGTGAAATACATTTGGTTAAAAATCTTTAAAAATTGGGTGGTGACTTGATGACCCAGGAAAAATGTGGGTCTTGAGGCTAAATCGATTTAGAACCACCGCACTAAAATATTTTTGGGAAACTTGAAATTTTACTTCCCGGGGATATGTAAAAAATGTCCACAAGGTGGAGCCTTTGCTTAAGTTTATATTTACAAGTTTTCTTTTTCAGTTTCTTTATTGTTTTTTTTCTCATACTCGTTTTATCGCATTCAGTATTTTGTATCATTTTAATACTCACATAGAATTACAAATTGTTTACCAGGCTAATAAATAAGGACAGACAGCTTCTGGAGCCTGATTAGAATGTTAGTTGTTGTTAAATGTCTTCCTCAATTAACACTGATGATGGAGTATGCTGATAGCGTATGCTATAGAAACTATAAATATTCATGTTGCATATGCTTGGCTGTTCTGTTATTTACTCTTCTTTTAAATTTGTCGTTATTCCTTGACAATGACCGCCACGTTTATCGTGTTCGTTTGATCTGCTGTCAGAATGTGAAAGATGACGGACAGCACGTCTGGAGGCTGAAGCATTTCAACAAGCCAGCTTACTGCAACCTTTGCCTGAACATGCTGGTTGGGCTGGGTAAACAGGGCCTCTGCTGCTCCTGTGAGTATGGCAGCGTTTAATCAGCCTGAAAGCATTTCAATGCCTGTATGTCAACAGGTGCCATTTTGGCCACTGTAAGACACAGTTGTATTTCTGAAAAGCAAATGGAAATTCTCTCGAAAGTTATATAAGCCCTCCCCATTATTGTTCGATATAGACCTAGATATAATTTGTTTTTTGTTTCTGTATTTCCGCTCACCAGGGATGTTGGTTTCATTCTCGTCCCTGCACTGTGTGTGTGTGTGTGTGTGTGTGGACCTACTTTGTTCTTCCCATTTGTTCTAGGTGATCCGGATCCCTGTCATGTTCTAAATGTTGTTTAGTTGAGATGGTAAATTACCCATCTCTGTTATTGCCCCATGATGGACTGACATCCTATGTTGGCGCTTGTCCTGCACTTCCTGGCTATCTGGGACCTTACATTGGGTTCCAGTTCTCCTGGAAAAAGCACGAATAGATCATGTGTTTGATTTAAAATGAACGGGCGCAGTAATGTTCATCTCGTCCACCTCGCAGTCTGCAAGTACACGGTCCACGAACGCTGCGTGGCTAGAGCTCCGCCCTCTTGTATCAAAACGTACGTCAAATCAAAGAAGAACACGGAGGTACGTCGGGTGGAAGTGTTCAGATGTACATGTGTGTGGAACACCAGCGTTCCCCAAGCTAAAACCAAGGGCTCCTTCATACCTAATGCAATTAGGAACCAATGTTTGTATTTAACATAACTAATAAGAAAATTTGCCAGTATCAGCGGTTACATAATAATCATAAGAGTGTCTTTTTTATGTCATTCTCTCCCCTTCAAAGGTGATGCACCATTTCTGGGTAGAAGGAAACTGTCCGACCAAATGTGACAAGTGTCACAAAAACATCAAGTGCTACCAGGGTCTGACTGGACTTCACTGTGTGTGGTGCCAAATCACTGTAAGTCGATGAGAGACCTAATCATCTCTTAATTATTTGATTGGCTACGGGCTTGGATTTTGTCATTTACATTTTGCATCATGCAACATCACATTTGTATCTTCTAATGCCATTTTAAAAGTCAGCCTGTGCATAGGAGATTGGCAAATTAGCACGTATAATTAAACTATATAAATGCATGCTAGTTAGCCGTTTTGTCAGTCACCTCGTAGACAGTGGTCTTTGCAATAGCCTTGGACATATTTTTATATAGAGCAAAATAGCTTTGGTTATATTTCACATAGTAGATTAACTTACTGAGAGAAGTGTATTTTAAGGCTTTATGCTAAATAAGTGATTCATGTTCAAAATATGCAATTAGCAGTTATTGAAAAGAGAAACATTACAGTAAGTGTCCAGTTCATGAGCAGTTAATTAAAAAGTAAGTGAATTTCACAGCTGTCTTTACAAGAGGGACAGCTGACAGAAGATGGATGCGCATGTGTGACGCTGAACGCCGAGCTGGGGCAGCCTTCGGCCAGCCCCCTCCATCCAACGGCTAATTGTGGCGAATCTGGAGCGTTCATTTGGCCAGTTTTTCCTCTGCGATCTTCTGAGGCCTGGGACGAATTTGCTCCTGAAACGGCAGCCGCGTTTCGAGAGGCGGGGGGGGGGGCGGCAGGACAAGCACGTGGGCTCGCTCTCTGGATCCCGCACCAGGGGCCAGGGCCACGCAGGGGGGCTCAGAAAAGATCCGGGGGGTCCTCAGCAAACATGCCTAATTATTTTTCTCTGGCAAAGACTCTCCGAATAGCACAGCTTAACAAATGAACAAATATTTCTCTCCCTTTTCTTGCCTTTCCTTTGCTGCCAGCACAGATGGCTCCGCTGTCCTCAAAGCGTATAAATTATTTGCTCCATTGCTGTGAGAAGTAATTAAGAAATAAGCGAATAAATATTACTCCACTGTACATATCGGCATTTTGGGACTTTTTTCATAAATTTCATCAATGGTTGGTTAAAATTTCAAATTCCCTCTCTGGTTTTTCTTAACCAATAACTGAATGATTACTCTATTATATATGATTTACTATTACTACTATTCCAAAAACTATAATAATAATAATACTTGTAATTAAAATATTTGTAGTAATTATTACTAATCTTATTAATCTTGACCTTGCAGTACTTAAGTTCCTTATTATTACATAAGTACACGCTCTGCCAACTGGTAAAAAGGGCTTTTGTAGTGTCGCCCGTCCTGTTTGATATGGTACAGGTTTTGCACTGGGATTGACTTGGGTTTTCGCTCCCCAGCTCCACAATAAGTGCGCCTCCCACATGAAGCCAGAGTGCGACTGTGGGCCGCTCCGGGACCACATTCTGCCCCCCACCACCATCTGCCCCGTCGTCCTGGTGAGTCGCCGTGGCGACCCAGCACCTGACCCAGCACCTGAAGCTGCCCTCAGCTCTGCCAGCAGATATGAATTCTGTTGCGATCGTTACTCGTCCGACAGAGAAAAGGTGGTCACTTAATGTGTGTCACGTCAGCTCGGTTAACCAGTCGCTAAGCGTGCAGTGCGATTCCAGTGATCAGGTAGCATGGAGTTACAAGAAGAATAGTTTCATCTTGGTGCCCCTGTCATTATTCTATTCACTGGAAATATTTTACATATTTCTGTTATTATGCATAACATTTTGTCCAGGTGTCCTGAGTGTCATTAACCGCTGTTTCCTGTGGATTTTAGGAAACACAGGCTGTGCTGCTACCCCGATCGTAATTATGAATTGTTTCCCGTGGTCTACAGGAAACGCAGGCTGTGCCCGTATCCTGTTCGTCATTAAGAGCTATTTCCTGTAGTCTGCAGGAAACACAGGCTATGTTGGTCCCATGATTGTCATTATGATCTGTTTCCTGCAGTCTACAGGAAACGTGAGCTACGCTTGGTACCCTCACTGTCTTTATGTGGTCAGCAGGAAAGGCAGTCTACACTGAGGAAAGATTCCAGAGCAAACCAATCAGGAGGCAGAGGAAAGATGCAGCGAGCCAATTCTGTGACCGTGGATGGGCAAGGACTTCAGGTGGGGGGCCGCAGTGCAACACGCCGTAAAAGATCATTTATTTATATATACAAACAACTAACAAGTGAATGTGCGCAATCTAATAATAAAGCAAGTGAAAAGTGAAACATAATGCTACAGTTTAATTTTATGAATCTATTAACAATTTATATTGTTTTTATATGGCTTCTTTGAAAAATGCACAAAAACTGTACTCCTGAAACGGCAAAATCCTGGAAATCTTGAATGTGTTTTAATCTGCCAAAAATCTATAAAAAATATGCCTGGGATATCGATATTGTTTTGACAGATACTCATCCAGCATTCAACTACTCAGTCAATCAGTCAAAAATGGTCAGATAAACGGAAGGTATCAAACGGGCTGGCAGCTTGAATTCGGCCCGATGGGTGTCCACACTGTCAGCCGCACGTGCAGCTCGGAGGATATGATGAATCATATCCAGGAACATCCATCTTTAATAATCAGGGTTATTATTTATAATTAGAGGAAGTAATGGATCTCTCATAACCTCTGGATAGGCCTCATTAATTCACCTGGCTCCACAGGAACGGCAGACAGAGGGAGTTAGCAGCTCCGTCTGTGTCACTAAGCAGGCTGTCACTGACCCGCCACAGCCCAAGCAGCAGCGGGCACAGACCAGCCTCGTGCCGTCGCCGCCACCCTATCTTTCAGAATAATGTTTACTGGAAGGGCTTCGTGAATTTTGCTTTTAATTGGTAGTCTGTCACGAAAGACGAATTGTGTCTTTTATTGGGAGAGTAATGCAATATTGAATTACTCCTCCTAAGTTAAATAATCAATTGTTTGAAATATGTAATGTATCATATTTCTTGTTCTCTTTGCGGAGGAGAGGGAACACCGTGCCGATACTGATGATGATGCAGGATTCGTAGCACGAAGCGAAACGCCGGGATTTCTTATGGAGCGCTAGCAGATCTGCCGCCGGCCAATTTCAGCTCCCTCCCTGAAGCGGGGGTTCTTTTTTATGCACAGATGTTTTTTAATTCACAGGAGTGTTTGTCCCACACATTCCCCCCCCAACCCCAACACCCTCAGATCACAGCAGCAGAGGGCACTCGTCCGCTATTGGTGTTCGTCAATCCGAAGAGCGGAGGAAAGCAGGGAGAGCGGTAAGCGGTGGCAGGGCGGAGTGGGCGGAGCCTGTCGCGGGGTCCGGCCTGTGATAGGGCACGGGGCCAATCGCGGGAAATGGCTGCTCTCTTTGGCTCGCTCTTCCTGGCCGAACCCACCTTGCTGACTCTGACCTGACCCGGCACCGCCCCCTGCTGTCACCTCCCCGCGTTGCCGTAGTCTCAGACCCCCTCCCCCCCTACCCCAGACTAATTGGGTTATTACTGAATTACTGAACACATTCATTCGCCTCTTTATTACTTTATTACTCATCTGTTTAAATTATGGGATCAAAATATGACTTGGCCCAGTTGTTATAATGAAATAGAAATTAGAAGGAATTACTCTTTATAATGGCCTTTCCCCCAGGGGGATTAGGGAGATGACCTTCCCCTCTGTCCAGGGTGGGACTGCCGGTGACACAGAGACGGGCCATACACGCCGGCCTGGCAGGGACGGGAAAGGCCATTACGGAGCGTTCAAGCTAGCTGCAGCTTTGCTCATCTGGCAGGACCCTCAGAGGGTGACTTTTGCACTGCCTGAGTTTATTCATGAAAATTCCCAGGCGTAAACATAAACCTGTGCTCTAAAGAGCCAATGAAATTAAGGGGCACGTTTTCTATACTTCTTAGGCCTTTCTCAGTCTCTGTAGCCATCTTACTGATGTGATTATATTCCATTTTAATGTGTGGCTACCCGGCAAGAACATTCTCCATGGGGGGTGGATTGTGGTGAAAATTCAACTGGCAGAGGTTGTGTCTTAAATCTGAGCTTTTCAGATGTCACATGAGGAGGGGATGGAGTTACATATGGAAATCTTCCCCCCCCCCCTATTCTCTCTCATTCAGAATATACAGGAAATTCCAGTACTTGTTAAACCCCCGCCAGGTGTACTGCCTCGCCAAAAACGGACCCATGCCGGGGTAAGTTCCAGGCGGACGGACGAAAGCGGAGCCTGCATCCGTCCCTTCGGAATCCCGCAGTGGGGCCTTGTGTTGCAAAGCTCGGTTCAATACAGACCCGCCATGTGTTTGCCGTACTCATGCAAATGTGTTGCGCTGTTGTGCGGCATTGATATGGGACACTTTGTGCTAAGGAAGCGCGCGTAAATTGGATATTCTGCCAAATCACGGGCTAATGCGTGCATTATTAAAAGGTGAGGTTGGACGTCAGTTGTGTCGCTGGGCGTCTTTAGCTAGCCGCCCAGACACTGAGTGCGGATTGACAGGTGCATGGCTGGATGGGGATGGAAGTATGCGTCCGGCGCTCACATGTGATTGCGCATACCAACGACGGTTACACTCCCCCCTTCCCCCACCCAGGGAACACACTTGCGATTGTTCCGACTTGTGGCTGTGGAACATGATCAGGTCATTAATGAGATGCAATGGCATCTTAGCCATTCACGTCACCCCGTGTGTGTTTATTACCGTTCAAAGATGCTTTCCCGACAACACATGTTTTGAATAGACTTCTAGTGATTAATTATGGAGCAGCGGTATTTTGTTTTTCACGATAGCTACTAGTAAAAGCTACTTGGGGATGGGATCGGGGGTGTTGGTCTATGAGGCGGATACCCTTTAATCCATAGTCGTGAACATTCCCCATGACTGTACCACTGTCTGCCCCATTTCTGTATGAAATTTCACTCCTCTCCGCGAGGTTGTGGAGGCCGTGAAGGTAAAAACAGCCGTGCTCTCCTCTGTCAATTAGCGGCCATCGTAATGCAATTACGACAAATTAAGTGTTTGTTTTTTCATATTCAAATATCTCCAAAGTTGTCTTTCATGTGCGTGACCATCTGCCTTTTGTCTAATGTGGTTTGTGGTCGTCGCAAATCCCAGTCGCAGAGTAATTGAACGGCTCATTTACCCACAATACGATGATCCAAGGCTTCCTCATTCAGTTACGGGTTTATTATTGTGAAGGAACGGAAGAAGTTGGACTGAACATGGCCCGTCTTGATCTGATTAGACTCAAAACAGGCCAGTTCTGTGAATGAGTAATTGTTATAGTAATTTGTGCCTAATTTTGCAAAATTAGAGCCTTTTGCAGATGCTTTCTAGATTAACAGTGTCTGAATAAACACAGACGTAGAGAATGAGCGGAAAAAGTCAAATTTTTGGCATTGAAAAATCTCTTTAAAAAAAGTAATGATACATAAATCGTACAAAGAAGTGTTAAACAAGCAAAAAGTACCATGACCATGTGCTGCATAAAATGGTTATGGGTGGGTAGATGAAGCTAAAAGTGACTAATATATGCTGTCTTTCTGCTCAATGCATGAATTGTGTGTAGTTCTGCTGTGGAACAAATTATCATTAAATTTCATTACCATCCCAAAAGAAAGAAATGCTTCGCACCTGAAAACCACTCATTCAATAAAACTTTAATTTTTCATGTTATTTTTACAAATATTTTGTTTTATTAAATATCAGTTCCTGTCCCTATATAATGAATTGCATTAGCACTGTATGGTTAAATCTGAGATATTTTCAAAGATGGGCAAAAGTAATATTCCCTTATGTTTTAGATGTAATTTTAGGTTCATATGAACCTGCATATTTAATCAATTCACAGCACTGGATTATCTTGGCAGTATATAAATACAATTTTACTTTAGTGTGAATTTTAGTTTTATGTGACATGCTGTCAGCTAACATGTAAATAAATATGCCAGTGAGTCATAATGATTTTGCCTTAACAGTTAAATAAAGAATTAGACACCATAGTAGCTTGGGCAGTGGGTGTTTCTGTATGTGCAGGACATGCAGTTTTCCTGTGTCGTATCTCATCCCCATTTCCCACACATTCAAACATCGGGACACACGACCCTATCAGATCACCCATTTCACAAGCTGCCAGTCACCCCAGCGGTCTGTGCTGTAAACCCCAATCCTCCCAGTTAGCCTACACATTTATGAATGTCCTGGTTACCCTACATGTTACTGTATGTCCCAGTTAGCCTACATGCTACCGTATGTCCCAGTTAGCCTACATGCTACCGTATGTCCCAGTTAGCCTACATGCTACCGTATGTCCAAGTTAGCCTACATGCTACCGTATGTCCAAGTTAGCCTACATGCTACTGTATGTCCAAATTAGCCTACATGCTACCGTACGTCCCAGTTAGCCTACATGCTACTGTACGTCCAAGTTAGCCTACATGATACTGTATGTCCAAGTTAGCCTACATACTACCGTATGTCCCAGTTAGCCTACATGCTACCGTATGTCCCAGTTAGCCTACATACTACCGTATGTCCCAGTTAGCCTACATGCTACCGTATGTCCCAGTTAGCCTACATGATACTGTATGTCCAAGTTAGCCTACATGCTACTGTATGTCCAAGTTAGCCTACATGCTACTGTATGTCCAAGTTAGCCTACATGTTACCGTATGTCCCAGTTAGCCTACATGATACTGTATGTCCAAGTTAGCTTACATGCTACTGTATGTCCAAATTAGCCTACATGCTACTGTATGTCCCAGTTAGCCTACAAGTTGCTGTATTTGTTTGCTGTAGTAATAAAAAAGAGTGTCTGGGTGTGTCTCTCTGATGCTTGTTTCCAATTTTAGGTTGAATTTCTTCCGAGATGTTTCCAGCTTCAGAGTCCTTGCCTGCGGTGGTGATGGCACAGTTGGATGGATTCTTGATTGCATCGGTGAGTTAAGACTCGTTTTAACACATCATGAACTTTTTTAGTGTAAGCGGTAATGAGTGTCCACCAAACCCTACCATTAATATGCAGTATTACTTTACATTTTAATGTTAACTAAATTAAAAGTACAGAAATACAAGATGAAAAGATCCTTGTGTGAATATTTATAATTATTATTAAATTATTCATAATAGGTAAAATTCTAAAAATTCAATTGCTGTTTTATCATTTAGGAATTTTACTTAGTTAATTCCCCACTACCCTGTGCAAACTGGATGGAAATATGTCACAAATGTGCCGGATCATTTATACATTGCAAACAAAACAAACTTTTTATTAAACAATTCAATTTCTTTAACAAATTATCAGTTCCCTTCTTTTATTTTCTCAGCTGCGCATATTAATTTCATTTACACATTTACACTACGTTTTCCTCCTATTGGTGAAAATTTTCAAATATACTTGAAGAAACAATTTCTATTAAAGTCAAGACAGTGTTTTTCAAGGAAAAATTTAATGATTATGTTTGGACAAAAAAATGGTGCTCTTAATAAGATTGAAAAAACAGTTACTATATAGTTAAAAAAAAATATATATATATATATATAAATATATATATATATAGTTTTTGGGAAAAATTGATGCTGTTTTTGTCTTTTTGAAAATTGCCTCAATTTTTTATCAATCAAAGGACAACAAAATAATGGTGTACAGAGAAAGCCGACTTTCAGGTCAGGAAGTGAGAATTCACAACAAAGTGAAGAAGTGGTTTGGTCAACAGTGGCAGCAGTCAGAACTGCAGGGGAACTCAGCATTCTCGCCGGGAGTTCGACATTAGCTATGACTAACATTGCAAAAAAAAGTTTATTACTTCTGATCATTAGGTGACGTATTTATTTAAAAAATAGATTAAAATGTAAAGAAATGTAAAATGTTCTCGGGATTCTGAAGGACATGTGTCTCCTATACTGCTGATCAAATATGTGATGCTTGTGTAAAAAATGTCTTATAATCTTATGATAAAATAATGTGAGTCTGTATGTGACACTTGGAAATGAGACAGTTTTTAGGCAGAACCATAGCAACACTGCTGTCAAAGCATAATGGCAGTTCTCTAACCTCTTTTTGCTCACTGACAGATAAAGCCAACTTGGAGAAAAATCCCCCTGTGTGCATACTTCCTCTTGGCACAGGAAATGACCTCGCACGATGCCTGAGATGGGGAGGAGGTATTATATAAACTGCCATTATTATTATGATAATTCAATTGCCCAAACTTAAAAGGGTGCTACTTTGCGCTGCCAAATGGATATTTATATTAGCATTACTGTAGTTGGTGAATTTCATATAATAGTAAAATGCTCAACCCATAGTGTAGTAGTTACACATGTAGCATTTGTTACTGTATGCTAAATTTATGAGAAACAGCTGGTAATGTAACAGAATAATAAATAGCTATTTTGGGTAAGTTAGTCCCTATCGTACACTGTATAGCTGGTGAGTGCTGGTGTTTAGTCTGTGTAGATGTCCCTCTGTACTTTGTCATAGTGTAACCAGTGTTTTGATATACTGTACGTGAGGTTATGAGGGAGGGAGTCTTACGAAGATCCTGAAAGATATTGAGAACAGCTCAGAGGTGCTGCTGGACCGCTGGAAGATCGATGTCCATCCCAATGACAGAGACGAGAAGGGCGACCCAGTGCCTTACAGCATAATCAACAATTACTTCTCCATCGGTGTGGTGAGTTTCACCTTCCCAGCTGTAGGCCTGTGTGCACTAGTCCAAAAAGAAAAGATTCAGCAGAAAACCAGCCGGCCGATTCGTTATTATTTATAGAAGTAGCCCAGACCCCCCTAGAGGAATTCAAATTTGAATATGACTCTTTTTTTTTAATTTTCAAGATATTATACTGGCTTCATGGTCACCCACACATTGATGAAAAAATACCAGTTGTAAGCCGACGAAATATTATTGACGCACGATGTTGTTTGGGCCAATTCCCATTGTTTTCCACATATTATGTATTTACTGGATTTAGTGGAATTGTAGCCTCTTAATAAAAGCTTCCCAGAGAGCAGTATCTTCATTCACATAGGGATTGTGTGTGTATATTAAAATTTATTCAAAGATCTCTTTTGTCACTTTATTGTGAAATTTACATTACTTAGTGTCTTTATTGGCATAAGCCCTTGTAGTAAATGTTTCTGGGAACAAAAATTAGCCGTTAAACATACACTTGGCTTTCAGCTAATCCCCAGCTCTCAGTGTCCCACTGATGATTTCGGAACCTCGGGTGTCTAATCAGGTAGATTACGGCTTTCACATGTTAGCCATTACAGACAAATGTCACTGGAAATACGGCAATTGACATTTGCTGTTTAGGGCCTAGTCTGCTCCTTGCGCTGTGACATTATAATTTGATGGCAAGATAAGCGATGCATGCCTTCACAAATGTTAGCTAAATGATGTCCATTTTTATGCTGTGTCCCTTTCTGGCACATAACTACCAGGCAATCAGCTTCCACTGCCGACTGCTGCAAATTACTGTCAATTCGACACCTATAAATGCCAACAAATATGTATGTATCAAGGCACACAGTCATTGTACATTATGGACTTAAAATATTTTTGGAAGCATGTGTTCTTCTCAGTAAAGGCTTTCATTGCTGCTGATCTCAAATACTGAATATATGACATTTTAACATTTCACATAAGGCCAAAATACAACCCACATATAAATAACATTACAATTATCAGCCTAAAGTAGTTCATTTGACAAACACAGCAAACATTGAATATTTGATTATTGTTGTTCCCATTATTTATTAATAAATTATGTGATATTTATGGTGCCCTTGTGTGGATAATAATTTGACCAGCAATATTCTCATATCCAATTTTGTCATTAATGAATATATGCTATTTCTTCAACATTACCAGCTCATTGAAAGTGAGACTAATTAGATTATAATGGTCACTTTGCACGTAAACTGTGTCTTAGTTGTAGTTAAAACCCGTGTAGAATGTGTGGTGTTTTGAAGCGACAGAGGATGGGATATTTTAAAGCAGGCAGTCAGATTCTGTGGTTTTGTTCAGCATGGGAACATTTCTCACTGGAGTGAAATGGCTGTGGACAGTATGGAGCAGGCTTCTGCGCCTGGTCCTGCAGAGCTGATGTATGAACATTTTATTACTAAATCCATGCGAGTAATTTTACTTTTCATAAATTCATTTGTTCATAATTTTATATGAAATCAATGCATGAAGTTTTGATTTTACTTTTCATAATTTAATTTCTTCATAATTTTATATGGGTCTTTTGATTTCCAAAGGTTTTATTTTTCTGCAAAGCTGATATCTGAACATCTTTATAAATTTGATGGAAAGCCTTTTATTTTATTTTTCATAATTTCAGAGTTATTTTATATGGATTTAGATTTTTAAAGGCTTCTTTTGTCTGCAAAGATGATGTGTGAAATATTTTATTTTTAAGTTGATCCAAAGACAGGCCTCTTTTTTTTTTGTAATTTCGGAGTTATTTTATTTTAGCTGCATCTTTAGATTTTTAAAGGTTTTTTCCTTTTTATTGCTAATGTGTCAACATTTTAAAATGTTAAATTTGTATGAAGCCAGAGTCATTTTTGTCATAGTTTTATAGTGATTTTGTATACATTTGATAAAGAAAAAAGGATATTAAAGTTTGCTGTAAAATATACAGATCGATACAAAGATGTGCTGCCAAAAATAAAGGAAACTCATATATAGAATGAGCGTGATGGTAAGATCAGACCTTGGTGATTTTGGATTTGATAAGACCCCTCTGCAGTTTGTGTGCTTTGGACAGGGATGGTGAAATAGCAGAGAAGCGGCATACAAGTGCCGGTCAGAGTTTAGGTCGTGACTGAGTGTCCTTCATTAACAAGAATGGCCAGACAACAGCCTCAGGACCACAGATGGGTCGGTGCATGCAGACCCGTCGCGGCGCGAGGTATCCCCCGGTTCTGTGAGGCGAGGAGAATAGCTACCAAACTTTTTATCCGTGATAAAATGGCGCGATGGATTACAAATGCTCATCCATCAACAAAGCCTTGATAACTGGACCTGAACATGCACGTTAATAGCTTGCAGACCGTTAAACCTCAGAGCGCATATTTCATCATCTTGTCATTCCCTAAGTCTGTAGGGTGCATTTTATTGGCGTATTTCTTGTATGGCCGCTAATTCGGCATGATGCATTTTATAACACGGTACCATCTTGAGTAAGCAGCAGCATCCCAAGATGGAAGAATTCCTCCTTGTTTTGGAGGGAAAATACAGAGCACATCCTGTCAATGGATAGCCTGAGAATCTTCCATGACCCACCAAGGAGCCCGGAATCCTACAGAGTCCTCGTGTTTATTACCTGCTGTCACCGAATTTGTGTGGACTGGAGCATTTACTCGCGGAAAAGTGGTACCAGAATTCTTGAATGGAGAATGTTGTAGATTTCGATTCACGCTGCAGCCGGACTGTCCTTGCTGAAATGGCTTTGCAGCCTACTCAGGGACATATTTCGAGTTCAGTTATTGTTTATTTGACTTGGTAATTCACATTGTGCGAGAAGTCTGACAAATTAAGCTGTTTGTATGAAGATTAAGAGGATTCCGAAACCTCGGTGGAACGAAGTGTGACATTTTGTGTCACAGTTCAAATCAAATTTCCCATTTACAATAAAGAAAAATCTGGTAGCGCAAAGATTACAAAACAAGTCATCCTCATGATCCTTCCAGAGATTATGCAGATTTAAAAGGATTACACCTTCGAGGAAACTACTGAAGATTACATGAAAGTTAAAAATTTAACCATGCAAATTATAAAAGAGAACAGTGCAGGATATGAGCTGTAGACTTGAATTGATTGTGCGATTATTTCAGAAGTTATTACATACCGATGTAATAAGCTAGTTTAATCCCATCATTTAAAGTAAATATGTATAAGTAGCTCTCTGTAGGCTATCAGCTGTATAACGTTGCAAATAAACCTAGCAAGCCTCCATTGAATTGTTTTTAGTGACATGTGACTCTGTTTCTATGAATACCCTTCGAATGCCTGTTGTGTGTGACACAGGGCAGCGTTTCCTCACCTCTTGTCGTTACACCCCAGCCACCCGCCCTTCTTTGCACTGCGTGTTCCTGCTGGCTCTCCGAGGGACTTGTTAGCATGGCAACAACAGCGCTCTCATTAACCCGGCCAGGCCGACCTGCTGCTTTAAGGGGCTGATGCTACTGCTTCGCTGGAGAAAGACAAACATGTTCTCCCTCCAGCATGTCTGTGCATTATGTTCATAAAATGTTATATATATATATTTTTTATTATTATTTATTAATTTTTTCTTTTCAATTGAAGTCTATGTGCATTTTCTACTTTAAAGATTTCGAGTGGACGTCCAGCGAAGATTCTCCTCTCTTCAAATAAACTTTGTGATGAGATTTTCTGATTTTTTTTGCTAATCATGTACCATTTAAATACTAATCCAGATTTATCCTACTTAATTTAACTAGTTGAATAATCCCCCATTAAGAACTGTAATGATCCAAATCAGGCTAGGGGAGTGAGAGCGGGAGCTAATCACACAGGAGGCCCAAAGATAATGTCGTCAGTCTTCTAATGACCCTGTACTCATGTCAAAGTCATTACTCTCATGGTGAAGGAACATCATCTGCCTGTGAAACTGGTAATTGGACTAAATGTTGAGCTATGAGAAGACATTACACATGTCCTTTATTAATTTGGGCACTGAAGTTCTGCGATAGTAATTATCGGCACTGGGTGGAGAATGGATGTCTCATGGGGGACCCCCATTATGGATGGGGTAAGCTTGTTTCGCATTGAGGGTGGAGACATTTTTTTTCTTCATTGCTATCCCACATCGGAGCACAAATCCCTGAAGGTGCAGAATCTGTGGTGTCCGCTCTATGGCGTGTTTGTGGCTCGGTGGTCAAAGGCAATTTTGTAGCTGGCCTCATAATTGCCTGCACAAAAAGGAAGGCCCGTCCCCGGTACCCATGCTCCGGTACGGATAGCTTGGCTCTGGACGGAGCGTTTGTGGCCCGGAGTAGGTATCAAAACTTAAACCAATGGGGAGGAGAAACCACCTCTCAATCTTTCGCTTTCTTGTTTTGGTTTATTGTGGGTTTTGTAAGGGATCAAGTAACCATCTTTCAGAAGCATCCGTTCACTTTAGATCCTTTTGTCCATGCTGAAGAAAGTGTGGTCGTTGGGGAATGAGGGAAAACTTTTAAACTGTGCCTTCAAAGGGCATCGAGGGAGAGAGAATTGATTTTTCTTGGCTTATCCTAAATTTTGTGCTGTGAACTAGCAGGGGGTCCTCCCTATGGCTACAGACGCAGTAGCGAGACTCAAGAAGCTAGTGGTCATAACAGATTGCTTTTGTGGGGCAAATAAAGAATAAACTGCATAAAAAAAGTTTCTTCAACTTTTTTTGTTTGTTTTAGCCCTTACGGGAAACAACCTTGTACAGTATTACTTTGTGTTGCATGACTTTGTACTTCCGTTTTGTCTGCTTTTTAAAAACATGCAGATACTTTCAGATCATATGGGCTAAATCAGCTAGATTTCATACAGGTTTCGTATCATTCACATGTTGTCTACCTCAGTCAAGATTTATTGAATAAATGCAACAAAATTAGACCAAGTATGGCAGCAGCTAGACAAAGAATGTGCAGATTTTCCCGACTTAATAATAACTTAATAATTACCCTACTTTTTTTAACCAGAAAAACGCAAAAGATGTGCCCAGACTGGCGGCAGACACAAGGGCACGATGCTCACTAAACAGACGACCTCACGCAAAGACGAGTCGCCTAAACAGACGACCTCACGCAAAGAGGAGTCGCCTAAACAGACGACCTCACGCAAAGAGGAGTTGCCTGGCAGTGAGCCCCAAAAGAGGCGACGTCCTACCAAAGCATGTGAAGAATCCAAATATAGCATGAAAAAAAGACAGAAAGCGAATTATATGGCACATCCCTTATTCCTTTTTAACGTGACACTCGGTCAGTTTGAAATATTCATCGGGATGGCTGCCACTTTATTCCGCTTTTTTCGAAATGTCTGATTATGACATTGACCGCCGCTACCTGTAGTGCGATCCCAGCGCAAGGAGGAGAGCGCAGGCCTTTCCAACAGGCATGTCATTATGTTTGCCAAGGCGCCCCACACACGCGCACACACACACACACACACACCACACGCTAGCAGCATAGCTGCTCTTCTTGCCCGGGGTCAGGGAGCGAAAACGACGCTCTGTTGCCATGGGAGTCAGCGGGATTCTGTGCGGTCGGAGCTGTGATTACTCGCAATGTGTGTTTAATTAATTAAACTGTGTGGAGAAGCCATGCTGTTCAGCCCTTTTGTTGGTGATGTTATGTCTGGCTCGTAGTGTAGCCTTGAAACCTTACTGCTCTGTGAAGGCCCATCAGTTAGTGGCTAACTCGTGAAGATGGATTATCCCAAAGTTATCATCGCTCGGAGGCCGTTGGATCCTGATGCACTTAATACTGCATTGTTAAAAGTATACATACGACAATGCTTGAATGATAACACGGAAGCTACAGCTAGCTGACTTTAGCCACTATAAAACTGTAATTACTGTACAAGGAAGCTGAACCCATGTCCCCTTTTGATAGGACGCCTCCATCGCCCACAGATTCCACGTCATGCGGGAGAAGCATCCCGAAAGGTTCAACAGCAGGTGAGCCTGTTCCACCCCAACACTTCCGCAACGCTGAATCTCAACTCCTCCCCTTGTGATAAGTGACAGCTGGACCCCCAGACTGAGTGGTGTTTAGGTGGTTCACGATGATCTCAATGCTGTATCAGAATCCCTCCTGTTTTAATACAATGCTGTGTGTCTGCTGGACATAGGCCAGGATTTGCTTTTGCTGGACACAGGTAAACATCTGCATGAGCAGGCAACTATGAAACTGGGAAATATGGATGTTGCCGTATTTCCAGTGACATTTGTCTGTAAGCCCCACCACGGAAGAGAATATTTCACACTTAAAGTTTGATCTTGTTTTTTTTTTTTTTCTTGCAAAAGCATTTTCACTCTGACTGATACTAGAAAACCAAGTAAGATTCCCAAAGACAGCTAGACATAAGAGGATATAATTTCATGAGTAAAAGGTATTTCGTGTTTTATCCAGATGTTTTATGTACATGTACAACATGAGAGGCATAAATTATTCAGCCATGTTGGGGTCTAAACTTGACCTCCGTCCAAAAAATAAATATCATTTTAGAAACTTGGCATCTATATTTCTATAAATAATTAACATACCAATAAGTCATCCCCTAACAATAGAGAGTAATTGGTTTGGAAATTGAATTTGCTTGGGTGGCTCAGTTTCATCTATCTGTCAGAACAATGACACAGGAGCTTCAGCAGAGACCCTTGATAATCATATTTATGGCCATAATCATATTTTACATTACCAGCTTTGGAGTTCAGCAATTTGCCCGGTGAACTCCAAATTTATTTTTCTTATATTGTAATAAAATTAATCTTTAAGAGAGTCTTTGGTTGACTGTCTGCTCTCCTGAAAAGTGAGATATGGGCACAAGTAAAAGTGAGGAGCAAAACGCACAATGAGCTTGTTCTGGGTAATAAATCCGGTATTTTTGCATGTGTGTTAGTGTCCTGTAGGAACCCTGCCCACCTGGAACTCTTCGTACGTTCAGCCTGTGTGTGTCGGGCATGTTCATGCCCGTTATCGTAAATGTATTGCTTATAGTGAAGGCTTTGTTTCGATTCTGGAGAGGGTATGACTGTAAGGTTGGGGGAAAAAAAATTAACAAATGAATTAGCAAAATGATGCAGACGTAGTACATAACTATGTGTATAGATATTGTTTTATCCAATTTTGAAAAATGATTGAGATATTTTAAGAAAATTATACCATCTGTTATTTGAATTCTATGAATAATTTATTGGAAGGAATGGGTTTAGGATCTTTCTATTACATACTATCCTTTCCATTTGAATAATGTATGATTATAGTTTTTCAAGGTATTGTGGCTTTTGCAAAATCGTCCAAGGGGGTCTGAGTCTGTTGTCAGGCTCCGAGTTTTTTGAAGTGCGGCTCCTCTGTTTTGAAGGGTGACCACTGGCTGAAATGGTGACCAAAAGGGTCACTAGTTTAAGTCCAAGTCTGCATTGTCATTTCCCACAGCAAGATTTTCAGCTGAAAAATGCATTGCAAAATCAGCTGAGAGAGACTGGAGTCTAAATATAACCGGAGACAAACAGGCTCCCCCCCCACCCCCCCGGTCTATTAAGAAGGTTGGAGCAGGTCTTCAGGGTCACTCCACACAAAACACTGGTAAAGAGTCCAGCTTTATCTCAGAAATACCGCGACTCCCTCATCATCCTTATAATTTTCCCTATTCAAAGAGAGAAAATTTGTTTGTCTCAGGATTGACCTTAAACAAGATATAAATATTTGATCAGTCTTAATTAACATGAAAATAATAGCATATTCATTTTTAATTATGAAAAAAGGACTTTTGTGATGAATACACAAGCCTGGCTCCCTCTCTTGATTTGCACCTTGGGTGATTAAGAAGAGAGAGGTGAGAGAATTTGACACTTTTCAGATAGATTAATTTACTGGTGTAGCCGGACCAGGAGGTGATAATGAGGTCGAGGATTAAAACCAGACAATCGGGGCCACGGACGACTCCTGTCTCGTTAAAATATACTGTTCATCTTGTCACTGATCTGCCTTGTAATTACACACTAATCTCTGCCTGAGAGAGAAGCTCAGAAATGCCTCTCTTTTCAGCTCCATCAGAGTTTCTGCTTGTGCTCCCATCTTCACAGAGCCCACAATGCACAGTCTGATTAACGCTACGCACAACAGTCTGTTTCCATCGTCGAATGAAGATGTCAATATCAACATGTCATATCCATCGGATGACATGACGTCTGATTTCCCACTGTCTTTCTGACACACCACAGGGACGGGATTAGGGCGTCATGAATATTGTAAGGCACTTTTCTTCCACAAAAATGCTATTTAAGGACAGATAACATCTGTTGCCTTGTCGCTAAGCATATTAGTGCCTCTTCTTTCACATCGCAGAATTAGCGTTAGCCGTTAGCGCTAGCGGCCTGTCCTCCTGAAAGGCTCTGCGCCCGGTGGCTGAGAGCTCAGTCTCAGAGCAGCTTCCTCAGACCCTCTCGGTTTATCCACTCCATAAAATATTCCACAGTTAACCTTTCCCAAAGTCAGGGGGAAGCCGAGACATGGAGCGCCGTTTAGCATAATGAGGGCCCCCATCAAAGTGAGTGCGGCGCTGGGGTCCAGCTGACCCCGCAGCCTTGGCGCTCGCCGTCCTGCTGGAGCCCTGGGCCCAGCCAGCGAAAGTCCTCGCACCTCATTTGAGATGAAATAATTTGTCTAAGCAGGCTGTCATCTATAATTAATGGCCACTTATGAGTGTAATTTATTGGGGATCTCACCTGTGGCCCTGTCCGTCTCGCGACAGGGGCACCCTCATTTACACCCACTCCACCAGCTTCCACTGTCCTCAGATCTGTAATTACGGGCGGCGGTACTGTAAGAGGACAGAGCGAGGGATGCGGGGGGATCCGGAAACGTTGAAGCGTCCCAAATAGAGCGGGGGGGGGGGAGGGGTGTGTGGAAATAAACCTGCTCTTCTCCCCGCTCCACGATGACTCGATACCACACTGGTCAGGCTGCTTTAAATGTGCACACGGTCGGCACGGATGTTATTAGTAAACACACTTGGCATGTACGCTGGCTGGCGTTAGCCTGTGAATGTGTGTGTGTGTGTGTGCGTGTGTGTGCGTGCGCAGGGACAATCTGCGGGAGTGTTATTTGTAAACATGCTTCATAAGCGTGCTTGTGTGCGGGGGTGTGGTTGGAGACACCTAAAGCGTTGGCTTCTCCTGCCCGTAGCCCGGTGCCCCTGCCAGTCTCCCCCTTGCCCGCTTGGACCTCCCCGCGTCCATATGCTTCCTTGCCTCCTCTGGACTCATTGGAGCGTCCACCAGCCCCAGAGTTTCCCCCAGCACGAGCGCGGAGCCTCCAACTCCCGTTGAGCCACCAGCTGTCAGCTACACACCTCTCCATGATCATTATCGTTCGTATTCAGAGAGCTTTACATTCACAAACTGCAGCTACCACTCAGCTGCATTTCACATCGGCTATTTATTCATTCTCCATAATCCTCTTCTTTTTCCGTGCCGATATTTTAACAAGTAGTACAATGTTTATAAATAGGCATTGTAATAATTAGCTATTTTTGTGTGGATCGTAGCCACATATCTCTTGTTGAATGACTTACATCCTTAAACAGTCCATCAGATTTAATTCTACCCATTAATAGATGTATTTCATAAAGTACACATGCATATGCTGTAGATAATTTGCATTATATTCCAATACTATTCCCCTAATATTCTACGGGTTTTATAAAAAGGACAGAGGAATAAGCAGAAATTAGCTTTATGTACTGTGTGTGTTTACTGTGCTTTCATGTTGTGACAATAGTGTAAGTACACACCACTAGGTGTCACTGTAAAACATAACGCTTCTCACAGTGGGGACTGAGTCATTCATAATCCTGAAGCAAGTTTCCCTTTTGACAGTCAAGGAGGGACTAACAATCAGGGGAAGTTATGGTGGTGGTAGGCTTTGCCTACCCGCCGGTTTGTCGTCTTGTCACGTCCCAACAGCTGCAGATGAAAAGCAGTTGTGTTCACAAGGAGATGATTTTCTAAATCCCAATCCTAATCCCAGAGGTTTGAAACGAAGAGTCCTTTAACTAAAACCTACTGCTGCAGAGTCACTCATGTACTGAGTGTCCTGTGTTCCTTCTGTACCAAGCCAGTCTGCTATCTCAACACACTGCAGCTTCCAGGACGCCGCGGCACTAATCGGAGCAGTGGCAGATCTCTCACCCAGCTCGCTTGGGCATTTGATCTCTACTGCGCTCAGTCTTGCAGTAACATTCAAACTGTGGAAGCCCTGCTTAACATTATGGATGGCTCAGGTAGTTTTTACAATGGTCAATACCATGGTTTTTGCAGGTGACCATCCTCTGAGTAACTAAACATTTAGTGTTTATAGTAGTCAAATATACGCTGTTTTCTATTCCCTGAGCGTCCAAGCAAGATTTCAAGCTCAAATGCAGCATGAATGATGTCATAAACTATTAGTTAAAAACAGGATTAATGCAGTTCAGTGACCCCACTTATCTAAGTTCTAAACTTATCTATACTTTTTGATCATGCCCGGGACAGAGGAGGAGATGAAACAGGACAGTTTTTGGGTCTTTAATAGCGTAAAGGTCCATGTTTTTACACCTCAAGAAAGGGCATCACTTGAGACAGCCCTATGTTACACAAAGAGGTGCAGTGCGGAGACGTTAGTTATGTCAATGTGATATTTATCACCTCTGATCAAGAAGAAATTAGTGGGAAAATAAGGTCATAGATCATCCCAGGTTAGATTAAGTGTCAAAGAAAAAAAAAAAAAAATCAATGACAACGTGCCTTTTTTTGTCTTGCGGTTTTGTGGGAGCTCCGGAGCGCCATCGCCTGGAGAGAGCGATGCAGACGTCAAGCCCGTGTTTTTAGCGTGTTATTTTATGGTGATGCTGCACTCGGCAAACAGGCTGGAAGGAGGACCGCACTGCTGGGTCTGTCCCTCATAGGGGGGCTGT